GCCGCGCGCTCCACCCAGCCACTGTTCTGCGGGAGGTTCTGGCGCGGGCGGGGTGGGGGGCGGCGAGGGGTGTCCGGAGGCTCGCCGGCTCCCCCACCTCCTCCGCTGTTACCCTCTGGAACTCCCTAGAGTATCATATTCCGGAAGTTCAATTACCATCTGAAGCCGCAGCGTTTAGCAGGGACCCCGGGGCTGTCGCTGGGGACCCCTGATTTACTCGGTGACTGGACGGCGTTGGCAGAAACCCAAGCCAGGCGTGACGGCGGGTGCCCGGCTGTGCGTACCTGCGGGCTCCCGTCTCTCCCCTCACCCCAGACGATTGTATCTGGGGTCAAAGGGTGACCCTCTGATTATCACCAAGTCGCGATTCCGGCGGGTTCAGCTACCGGAGGGGGGGGGGGGCAAAGAGGCTTGGAAATAAACGGTCGCGCCTAGAGGCGCCTTTGCAGCTCGTGCTGGGTTGGGGGGTGGGGGCTGGAAATGGACTCTGTCTCTTTAAAATCGCTGGGGCTGGACTCCGCGCTCGCGGGGTGTGGTTTGGCGGCAGGGTTCTCTCCCCTTCGATTTGGGGGAATTATCACACCGGGCCTGCTTGAGTGTGAAGGGGAGGCGTCTTGGCGAGGGTAGATCCGGGCTCCACGCTCGCTCACGCGCGCTCCGTGCAGTTGGTTGTCGTCTTAGACCAAATTAGCTGGGGCTCTCGTTACTATGGTGCGCCGGGGCTCGCCGAGTCCCAGTAATAGCATTTATTAGGTCTATTTGCCTGGAAGCATGCCTTCCTCCATCTGATAAGGCCCGGGTGCCGGGGAGTGTGGGAGATGGTATCTAGAATTTGATTACACTTGCCACAGGGTTTTTAAAAGGAGGGGTGGGGGGAGAGGCTAGTGGCCCGCGGAGCCCCCTTGGCCCTGCCGGCGCGTGCGTTTCCGCAGCCTCGCGTCGGTAGCACAAAGGGCGGCCGAGCGCCCTCGGGCACGGCGCAGGGACCTTCCTCTCCTCCCCGGTAGGGCGCGAGTGCGTTCCCCGCTCCCGCAGCTGTCAGTCGTGGGTGGGGTGGGAGGGAGCGAGG